AGAGTTATCTATATAAACACATATATTTATATGGTTTTGTGTATGATAATTTCTACTTTCTCTATAGAGAGAATTTGACTACTTTGTTGCAGGCCCCTAAGGCATTTCATTAGTACTTGGTATGCAACAAAATGTGTAATAAATGTAAACAAAATATGAAACTGCAATGCGCCGCATTTTGTTTATTGATGGGAGCTCGTTTGTGGCATGTGCCGCTTGCCTCTGGGTCAACAATAACAGACACACACACACACAGATAGAGAGAAAGACTACCATGACAAATATTTATACTTGATACGCACACATGCACATTTGTACAAATGTTTGTACGTTGTGCTCGAGTGTAGATGTGTGTCACGCACAGCGGCACGAAGACTCGCAAAGGTGAAGGAACTCTAGAACGGGGCTCTCGAGCTGATAATCGACGCCCATTCAGCACTATCAGGCGTACGACTTCCACAACTAAACACCAGAAGCTACGCACGGGCTCGGGCCATTCGTTTCGGTTCGTTAATTATTCGGTAATAATATCAACAAAATTGAAATTGAAATTGAAATCGAAATTGAGATTGCGGGTCTCATGCCATGCCCGGAAAAATACATAAAGAGCATCAGCGGAAATAGTTTGTTTTGATTTATGGGCATGATTACATTTTACCTTACCGTATAGACATAAATATTCAATTAAGTTTGAGTGATAATTGTTGAGCTGCATAATACAATAGGTTGTATTACAAAGTAGCTAGGAATGCCTAGAAGCATCTATCTATCTATCATTATGTGGAGTCTAATATGTCTTTAGGTAACTTGAATAGAAGTTTAGCTAAAGTAAAAACTTTCAGTTTAATCAATTGTCCAAGCTTTTATCTATGAATTTGGTGGCCTTCACGCAGCATGACTAAGTAAACTACAATTTGTGAAACATTCATTTCGAGAACAATTCATTCATAATACAGCTTTAAACAATTCCAGTAATTTGCTTTGAATAAGTCATTTGCTTTGAACTGGTGAAAATTCCGCATGGCGAGCGATGCCGCTTGAGAGAATTCGCCCAAAAAGTGCGCTCATATAACGAACTTCCTGCTCTATATGCTATTTATAGCTTGTGATGCAAAAGGAAAGCACAATTCCAGGAGCTTGCCGACATAAGTGTCTTCTTGGTTCCATGTCTGGAGATGCTGCTGTGCCTCTCGGAATATTATAATTAGACGTTGAAGGCCGTTTCGCAAATGCTTCATGTGAGCAAGCATCTGGCTGGCAAAACGATATTGAGCCTTGGCAATACAACGCTGATATCTTTAAAATATGAATAGGATAAATTGAAATACCTTTTGATAATTATTTTACTCACTGCAGCACCTAATGCTATAGATATATTCTTAATGAAAGGAAGCTGTTCAATTGCCAAGACAAGTGTGGCTCCAAATCAAGCCATCATCTTACTGGATCATGAATCTGAGACAAATCCATGCTTCTGACATTCCAAAGTGCAGCTGAGGTATCCGCGATATACAGCATTCCAATCGACTTCAGCGGGGCAACGCCAACTCGCTCGATGCTTTGATAACTCGTATAATGATAGCTACGATGGAGTATGAAATAAAGACGAATGCAGCTGAAATTGGAGGCTCATGTTTCACTTTTGTTCACTTTGATGGTCGACTTTGTCTTGACCGGCAAAATTGTAATTGCCAGCTCAACTAGGAATACGAATCTGATCCATTTAGATCTAGATTGGCTTTACTGCATACATCATTCTGGCAATCATGACAATATTTTTATCGATCTGATATTCCATTGCCATATTCTCTATGATCCTCTTCGCTCTATACTATACTTATATATCTTCTTCTTGCCTTGTCCTTGTGTCTATAGAGATGTAGCAGAAATGTTTGCTATTATTATATTCAGCTGATTTTTGCATTGCATAGCTTTTTAACTCGAAGATCTATTTAAATTTGCTGATTTTCTATGGCTTCAGAACTTTTCAAGATACTCACTTGATTCCGAAAAAGATCCCTTGAACTTTGCTTGACTCTAGACTGTAAGCTTTCTGTATCCATTTCATAAGAATTGTGAGTTTTCAGCCAATCGTCTTAAGTTTTTTTATAAGCAGCCAAGCAGGCTAAAGGCACGGCGCTTACACGACTCAAGACAATAGCTGCTTCTTAAGTGGTTACCGATAAGTCCACTTATCTTAGTACAGCTCTAAAAATTGCATTTGATAGAATACGATTAACTAAAATTATTAGACATTTAGTACGTCAAGTCTTTTGTGAAATTTAATCATGATTAACAGCTAAAACTAATAAAAAAAACTGTCTAAATATGCAAGATTTTTTATTTTCATATTTATTTGACTGAGCTATCGCTCAACTTTGCAATTAGCACATGGTTAAGTCTTCTAACCAACCTTAAGTGAAGGAGTTTTAGCCTGAAACTGGCAAAACAAAACAACGCCCAGTGGGAGCTGAAAGCAATTTGCAAACAACTTGAAAAACAAACAGCAAAAGCAAGAGCAAAAAATACAACAACAACAGAAAAAACAAAAACAAGAGCTGAGAGATAGAAATTCAAAAATATTTCCTGGTAAACAAAAAGTGCAACTGCAACTGCAACTACAACTGCAACTGCAATGCCAACTGTAAATGCAATTGCAGTGGAAAGTGCTGAACGGAGCGAAGGAAACGATTGTAATTGATGCTGAAAATGATGCTGTTGCAGCTCTTTGGTTTGGCGTTGTTAGAGTCTTCTGTAGTGTGCAAGTCATCAGTTTGCTTTTTGATGAGTCGGCAGTTTGTCATGGTTTAGTAAATTTCATTTAATTACCCCGACATAGAGCTACCTGGCTGGTGCTAGGTGAGCTCTTGAGCTACAAAGTTCATTTGCGCAGTCTCCGAGCTCAATTAATGCAAATAATGGAATTTCATTTAATTAGCAGACGACACGCAAAATGTGTCTCTAACACATTTCGACAGAGACCAGCTCCACAAAGTGGACCAATTAATTGAAGAGCATCCGGAGAAATATCTTGGACACGCCCCCACCGCCAAATGGCATGCATTGACGGACGAGCTTTGTACGTGCTATGTCATAGGCCATTAGCCATTGCTGACTCTCGTCCTGGCCGCACACCAAGCCAGTTGGCCAGTTAGCCAGTGGGCCAGTTTGCCAATTGGTTTCTGGGTCAAATGCAACAGTTTGCCTGGCCAACCTCGTTGCTTTCAATGGTCTTTCGTAATTATCGATCAATAGACATGCATGCCTGTGTGAATTTAGAGTGTGCAACGGTTAGTTGTGGGTGTGTTTGGCAGGCACCATCACCACCACCAGCATTAGTTTGCCGAACTGTTGGCATCATTTATATGGCAATTAAGCTGCGTATAATTCGAGTGACGTGCCATGACCACGATGTTGAGCTGCGTCTATTAATAGCTGAGACCTTTCCATTGGCAACACTCGCCACATACCACAGCTGTAATCCCGCCAACCTTGAGTGTTGAGTGCAGTTGCGATGATTATGACAGCGCGATTTCAATTTTAATGAGCTTATGGACTGCTTTATACTAGCAGAGCTAGTTAGGGGTATCGCATCATAATCCTTTAGGGCACAACATGACAAGTGCAGCGGAAATATCAAACGGATCTTCAAATAAGTATATTGCCATAGACAAGACTAGTTTATCGTATACACTCACCTAATCTGACAAAGAAGGCCTTTGTCTAGAGCTGACAATGTAGCTGGGATCCAAGCTTTTATTCATAGTTGACCTGCCAGCACCTGGAACATGTTTGATGTTTCCAATCCTGTTTTTGTGTAGGAGTTTCATAGCAACTTCTCAACTGACGCAGCGACAAGCCCCAGCCAACAGGTTCAGGTCCATCTGTTGCAAAGCCAGCCTGTCGCACTCGATTGCCAGCGCATCACTTGACGCCAGCAAGACCAGGACACAACATATATGACGGGAATTGCACTGGCACCGTGCAGCGCCTGAGCCTGTTCTCTGATGGTGTGAAATGACAGCACCATAATAGCCGCTTCACCGTGGACATGGATTGATAGGTGCCTTGAAATTTCAGTTCAGGTGTTGATTGCAGAAGCCTGCCAGACTGTATAACTCAGACTGATGCACTCAGGTTGAGATGTGTACGAGGGCTTTCAAACGAACTTCAGACCTGTAGATGCAGTATAATAATTATTCATTTTACTCAGAGTCTGCTTTTCAGCTAGATACGTATCTGCAGATATATGGCAACATTTTATTATTTATTAATATTTGCCTTAAGTTTATGAAGAGTAGATTTAGGAATCTAGGTGGATGCTTCCAGCCGTGATAGGATTTCCGTATACTTAAAAATCAACCTCTTAAGTATCATTTTGCTAATGTTTTTTGAAAGGGTTCCAAATGCTATTCTGCAATATAATTTAAGAAGGGGATAAGCACTTGCCCAAAAGTTTTCAATAATGCTCGGCACACACGATTCTATGTTTCTGGGTAATTTTCCAAGACAAGTTGAGCGCCGATCAAGATGTGAAGCCAAACTAAGCTGCCGTCAATCAGGGCTTTTTTAGCTTGTGGGCGAGTTGCAAATTTGTTTCAGGCTGTATGCAGTTTCGCACAAAACTGACAAATGACGCAGAGGCTTTAGGCAGCGTTGTGAGACGGCTTTACTAATTGATTTTGAGCCAGTTGGCACGTTTTTGGCGCTATTCATTAGCGCAGCCAGCTCCAGTCAAGAGCTAGGCTTGGCCTCACAATAAGTCTAGAAAAAGCCGACGCGGCGGGCAAACAACATAAAGCATTGGCACCTTGGACGTGCGCTGCTTCATAAAATAAAAAAAAAACTCTTGCAACTAGCCATGCGCCAAGATGGCCTACAATGTGCCATTAAAGGTGGCCGATGCGGCCAGAGGTTTGCGGTGTTTGCCATTAGAGAGCTAAAGCAATTTTTGCCCACTCTTTAACTAATGTTCCGTTTGCTCTCCTTTCCAATTGCAGATGAACGACAGCACATACAGAAGAAGACTTTTACAAAATGGATCAATTCACATCTAAGCAACACCCAGTGCACACCAGTTAATGACTTGTTCCTGGACCTGCGAGATGGCCATCGGTTGCTGGCATTGCTCAGCACTCTGACACACAACCAGCTGGTAAGTGCCTCAGAAGAGCCTGGGATATGCTTAAGATTGTTAAGATTGTATATATAATAGTGTTATGTGAACTCATCTACTTTCTTTTTGCTTCACAGAAACCTGAGAAGGGTCGCATGCGCGTGCATCACATCAACAACCTGAACAAAGTGCTGCAGGTGATCCAGCAGCACGGCGTGAAGTTGGTGAACATCTCTAGCGATGATATTGTGGGTGGCAATCCGAAGCTGACGCTGGGCCTCATCTGGCTGATAGCGCTAGAGTTCAATGGCCAACATCTAGTCAAAAGCCATTCCAGCAATGGCGTCGAGAAGTCCCTGCTGGCCTGGGCGAGGCAGTACACAGAGCCGCATGGATTGGCGCTAAATGATTTCTCCAGCTCCTGGGCAGATGGACGGGCCTTCCTCATGATACTGGCTGCACACCTGGATGAGCTCGATCTAGATACGGCCCTGGCGCAGCACGCACTGCAGCGTCTCTACATGGCCTTCGACTTGGCGCATCGGCACTTTAAGATTGAAAAGCTGCTGGACGCTGAGGATGTGCACACCCACAAGCCGGACAACAAGTCCATACAAATGTACGTGATGTGCCTCTACCATGCCATGGAATCGATGCGAGCCACGGAGCGCGACAGGGTGCCCTGCACCAGCATTACAGATCTGGACGAGGTGCCGCTCGACAATGAGCGCGAGCTCTACACCTCCGACAGCGCGACCAGCATGGAGCTGAAGTCAGGGGTAGAGGAGAGCTCAGTGCGACCGCTGAGCACAGCAACCAATGTGAGCGTTGAGATCAGCAGCTATCAGGCAGCCTTGGAAGCGGTGCTAACACTGCTGCTTGAGGATGAGCAGCTACTCTCAGAAGATCTGCCAGACCCGGAGAACTTTCAGGCAGCCAAGATGCAGTTTCATGAGAACGAGAGCTTTATGCTTAAGCTAACCAAACATCAGGAGTTTGTGGGCGAGGCCCTCGAGGAGGGCAGCAATCTCATAAATGAGTCCCAGAAAAAAGATGGCTCCAGCCTGTCACAGGTGGATCAGAACGAGGTGCGTCAGCAGATGGTGCTGCTCAATGAGCGCTGGGAAACGCTGCGACTGCGCGCGCTCGATATGCAGGCCAAGATACTAATGCGGCTGGCTGAGTTCCAGAAGCAGAAGCTAGAGCAGCTGCGCCAGTTCCTCACCAATGTCGAGGATCGCATCTCGCACATGAGCGACTTGGGGCCCACCTTGGCTGAGGCCGAGCAACAGCTGACGGAAGCACGACAGCTGAAGGCGGATCTGTCCGAGCAACAGGAGCTGGTGGATAGCATTAGCAGCATGGTCGTCATTGTCAATGATACCTCCGGCAATTTCAACGATCTGGAGGATCGACTGAGTGCTCTCGGCGAGCGCTGGTCCCATGTGGTCAAGTGGATAGACTTGCGTAGCGAAAAGCTGCAGCAATACAAGTGCATCTCGCGTTGGCTGGATGCGCGCGAACAGGATCTGAAGCGCATGGAGAGTCGTGATGTCACCGACGTTGGCGGCATCACGCAGCGGATCAATGAGCTCAACTACTGTGCCAAGGATTTGCTGGAGTTGCAGCGCTACTTGATCGACCTGCGTCAAATGGTTGCTGCCACGCTGCAGGATGGCGACGACAAAGGTGAGCGCGTACTGATGCAGCTGGAGAGCTACGAGGATCGGCTGGATGCACTCAAGCAAATCTTGGAAGTGCAAACGCTGCGCATCGAGTCGAAAGGCTTCAACTTTGGACGCGAACGAGCCAGTTTCGACGACAGTCGAGTGCTGCGGCCTGAGGGCTGGGTGGACTATCAGATGATTATACGCTTCGGTGAGGGCGAGGAGGAGGACGAGGATGAGCCCGAGCCGACACAGCCCGAACAGCAACTGGACGTCCAGCATCCCGACCAATTGGCCAGCAAGAAGCGCAAACTACGCAATGCGGACAACTTTTTCGAGCTGGAAAATCAGATACTGCAACACTTTACGCACGTGCAGCAAGTGGAACAGCAACTGCAGCAGATACAGCGTCAGAGTCTGCGCAATCAGTGCGAGCTGCTTAAAGAGCTGCAGGCCGAGCACCAGCAGCGCGCCAACTGCTTGCCGGAGCTCAAGAAGCTCTATGAGGTGTGCGAGCAGGAGGAGCCAACACGTCAGCTGCAGCTGGAAGCAGCTCAAATCAAGCAGCTGGAGCAACGCCATGCAGCGCTGGCCACGCGACTGGCTAGCCAGCAGAGCGAAACCAGCAATCTGTTGACCAAGGAGCGCTATTACAATAGCCTGACTGGCTTCAAGCTGGTGCTGGCTGACTCCAGGGACTGGTACAAGCAGCACGCTGGCTCTGCCAGCTGCCAGGAGCTGGAACAGCGACTCAGCCACATGGATTCGCTTGCCACCGAGATTGCCGAGGCACGCGAGACAACCGAGGCGCTGGACGAGCAGCAGGTTGAATGGAAACAAGATTTTGGCATATTCTACGATAGCTGGCACGACATGAAGCAGGCGCTACAGGCGCTCATACAACAACGTGGCGGCGAGAGCGTTGCCCGTCAGCTGCAGCATCTGGAAGCTTTTGTTGGCAAGGTGGCCGCCCAGAAGGTGCGCGTATCCCATCTGGAGGCCATGCAACAGCAGCAACAGTTGCTTAATCAACTGGTCGATGAACTGGAGTCCTTAAAATCAAGCTACGACTGTGTGCCCGCCCACATGCTCAGCGAGGAGCTGCAGGCCGCCTGGCAACGTTTGCCGGAGCAGCTCAATGAGCGGGTCATCAAGCAAACCACCGCCATAGAGAACCTCAATCATTTTGTAGCTGAGTACAATTCGATAATAGCTGTGCTACGCAGCGCGCCACAAGTGCTGCAGGCGCAGGATCTGCGCAAGCTGGAGATCGATGTGATCAGTGCACGCAACTTCAGTGAGATTCTGATCAAAGAGGCGGAGCCGGCACAGCGTGAGTCTCTGCAGGCGCAGATACGTGCCCTCAATACGCTCTACGAGCAGGTGGAGCAACTGCATCAGGCCCAGCAGCAACAGCAGTCGGCACTGGAGACCCAAAGCGATGCGATACAAACGCGACTGCAGCAGACCGAACGCTGGCTGAGTGAACTGGAGGCGAACACGCCCAAGTCAGGCATTGCTGAGATACGCAACTCCAATGAGCTCTTCCAAAGCAAGTCGAAGTTCCAGACCCTTAAGGAGACTTGCGAGCGGGAGGCCACACAGTTCCGGGAGCTCAATGAGCTGGGCGGCGAGTTGCTGCTGCAAATGGACGAGCTGCAGAGCAAGGAGAAGGACTCCAAGTACGGTTCGCTGGCCAAACAGTTCACGCACCTCAATGCACGCTGGACGGAAGTTACGGAGGACGTCTACACCAAGACGGCGCTGCTGGAGCATATATCCACGCAGCTGGGAGAGTTCAAGAAGTTTATGGTCAGCGAGACGGGCTATCTCGATCGGCTGGAGAACAAGATTCGGAATACGCCCGAGAATGCTGCCGATGCAGAGGAAATTATTGAAGAGTTGGATGTGAGTTCATTTAGTTTAGATGTGATCAGCTTATTTCATTAATTGCTATTGTTCAGGATTTGGAGAACGTGCTGCGCGCTCATTCGGACGAGTGGCTAGACAAGATTCAGGAAATTGGCAACGAGCTAATTGACAATGAATTTATGGCCGATGTCATGCGTCGGGATATCGATGGCATTGTTGAGCGCTGGACGCAGCTGCAGCAGCAGGCCAAGAAGCGCACCGAACTGCTGGAGGAGAAGGCCAGCGAAGCGGAGCAGTCCGAGAAGGCAATTGTGCATCTGGGAGGCTGGCTAACGCACGTGGATGAGATACTCAGCGAGCATCTGGAAAATGATGTGACCATCGAGGATCTGCCCGATGATTTCCAGGTAAGTTAAGCAAACGACTTCCTAAGCCAGACAGCATATACCTGGCTCTCTAACTCCATAGATTTTGGCACGCGAATTCGCCATAAACGAGCAAAACTTCAAGGATATAAGCCAACTGATTGCAGAGCACACAGCCAATGGCAAAACAGGTGCTGCAAATCGCCTGAAGGAACAGCTTAACCTAATGGAGAAGCGCTTTAAAGCTTGCCAGGTCAAGCTCAACAAGTGCATAGCTCCTCAGTCCGCCTACGAGTCGCGCCTCAATCGCGCCTACGGAGATTTGCGCAACGTGGAGCACTCCACATTGGTGCTGGACGTGGCTTCGGCGGGTCCCAGCACCGTGCAGGCGCAGCATCAGAAGTGCCTGGTATGTTTAAAGGATTTTCAATCCATTGAATTTTGAACTAATGCAGTTGGTCTTCCGTAGCAAATCTATCGCACACTCTCTGAAATCAAAGCGGATATTGAGAGCACCATCAAGACGGGGCGTCGTGTCTGTGAGGATAAATACACGAAGAGTCCCAAGCAGCTCAGTCAGCGCATCGATGCCCTGAAGCATCTGTACAATACGCTCGGCGAGAATGTCACCCAGTCGAAGGCCTTTCTCGAGGGCCTTATCAAGCTGGCCAGACAGCTGGAGCACTGCTTCAATACGGCTGATGAGTTGATAAGGCGCTTCGAGTCGCCGCAGGAGCTGCACGATCGCAACTCCATACTGCTCGAGTTCGAGGATGTGCTGCAGCGCTGCGAGCAACACTACAACGAGTACAGCAAGTCCTGCGACAAGAGCTGCATGCAGGAGACACGCCAACGCATCGACGGCCTCAAGGCCACCTACCACAAGCTGACCAGTGCGGACATTATCAAGCGTCTGACTGAAATGAAGGCAACGCTGCAGAACTTGGACAACATCTCGATGGATACTCTCAAGTGAGTTGAACTATAACTCATCTATAACGGATTAATGTTGAGTGCTTTAAGCAGAGTTAATGCAAGTGAAGCTCTTACTAACAGCTTAGACTACATTACTTAATATTCAAATATAAAACCTTGTGCCTTAGATAATTGGTAAACATAATTAGATTTGTTTGTCTATTTGTCCACGCGTCTGTTGCTGTAAACATATCTTTTATTGCCAAAGTTTGCTTACAAACTTCTGCTGTACATAGATCTAAACTGTTATAAGATACTATATCATTTATATAACTGAACTCCTACAAATATGTTTTGCTTACTCTCACTAGTTGTCACTTATCAATATCAAAGTTCTTCAATCAAAGATGTGTATTAATTTATTCACTAGTTTATCAAATACTCTAATTGTATTGCTTTTGCTTTGCCCTTTCAGAACCATGGAGCACGATCTGAAGGAGATAAATGTGCCCTCGAATCCGGAAATTGAGAAGTTGCAACAACAAGTCATTGCAATAGTTGTGGTGCGTAGCAAACGAATGCCAATTTAAGAAGTTCGATCTGTGTGCACTAATTACTGAAATGCTCTTAAGATAGTGAACTGTATATAATTAGATTAGGCTAATGGTTGTTGTCTGTTTGAATGTGCTTTTCGGCTACTTAATGTGTCTTTCCCTGCGATTTTCCTTTATATTTGGTTTTTCTTACTGCAATTCATTTCATTTCATCTCATTTCATGCACTTGTTTTACGTTCGCGCTCTGCATATACATTGTGTGGCTGCTGGTTGTCTTCCATTTTAACACCTTTCGTTTCCTTTCAATACACACTCACACACACACACACACATACATAGAGGTGCTTGCGCGCGAATTCGAGCAGGCGCCAGCGCTGAAGGCATTTGCATATGCACTCAGAAATGGAATCAAATTTCTCATTCTTGATTGCATTTCATTTGATTTCGAACGGAATTGAAATTTTTAGTTAAAAAAAATAGAGAAAGCTTTAAACTAAGTTGTAAACTAATCATAAACTAAGATGTTATTATAATTGATTTAATCATTGTAATGCTCTAACCAAGCGGTGCTTTACCACATATCAGTGTACTTTGTACATTGCTATTTATTTTGTTTAAATACATTATTATTTATTCGCCATTTCGCATACCATTCATTAAGTAATAATAATAAAAAACGAAGAAACGAAACAATACATTCGTAATAATCTTTCCACCAAGCTAATCAAGAACCAGATAAATTTATTATTTATCAACAACCATCACCCAATACAACCACCACCAACCACCACATACCAGAATCACCGTATCACTAGCTCTACGAGGTCTAACTTGGTGTCATTTTCACGCTTCAAATTTCCAACTGTATACATTATAAATATATATGTATATATATATATTTATATATATAAATATATATAGATATATATTTTTGTTTTGCGTTATTTGGATTACTTGTTACTGTCCCTCCCACCCTGTCCAAAACATTTAAAAGGCGTTCAACTGTGGTTATAGTCCAATCAACACATCCCAACAACAACATATGTACATGGCTATCTGCTACTCCTCTCACCAACGCTTATGTACAGCAACCGCTTTCTCGGGCCATCATATGCTACTACTATGTAATCCCAATCATAACATGGCCCGCATGGGTCGCGACTCAGGCTTCACATGACCATAACTTTAAGGCGCAGCGAGTGCTTTGCTTGAGTTGAGCTTTATTATATACTATGAAACTATGCGTCCTTTGCACAGGATACACTGAAAGCGCGCTTCGGCGAGACCTCAACGCTTGCCACAGTTGCAAAGCCAAGAGCCAGCGATGACGATGATACGGAAATTGTTGTTGTTAGCGATACAGTGCGTCAAAGGCGTGCACGTACCCCGCAGGCCGGTGAGGGCAGCACGCCCAACACAAGTGTCTCCGAGGCGCAGTCACCGAAAGCGGATGCCCAGCCGGCCTCAAATAGCGGTGAACAGGTGCTGCCTGATTTGCTTCCACCTCAAACCTTTCGTTTGGCTGAATCCAGCACACTCTTCTCGCAGATATCGCTGAATCCAAACAGGGTAATGGAGTCGCCACCCCCGAAGCCAGCGAAAAACAAACGCAAAGCGCCGGCAGCGCCCGCTCAGGTGGTTGAGATAAAGGTGAAAAATATTCAAAATGACAAAATGTCTGTGCAGAACATTGCGCTGGAGCCGCAGCAGGGCGAGATTGTGGACACGGTGAACATTTTGGAGAGTGTGGAGCCGCTGCTGCCTGAGTTTGTGCAGACTGTGCAAATCGTGGACTTGTCCGAGGACTCGGACTCCTCCTTGCGAGTCGATGTCAATGGCAAGGAGGTGCGGCGCAGCAAGAGCAAACATTCTCTGTGCGAATCGCCGGTGGCCAAGGCAGAAGACACGGACGCAGATCCAGAAGGAGACGCCATATTGCGTCCTGCAGCGGGCAATACCAGCACGCCTCTGCTGCGTGTGGAGAAGCAGCGCATATCCTTCGATGAGAAGCGTAAACGTATTGCCCATGAGCGTGACATACTGCGCGACTCCGAGGAGGACGAGGCGCCACAAAGCGTTGCTGCGTCCAATGCCGACAGTGCAACAGCTAACGAACAGCGACCCAAGGCCAAGCGCTGGCGTCAGCTGCAGCCAGAAATGGAGGCTCTGACACCTGACACCGAGCCAGAGTCGCCCATTCGCAATAGTTTCTATAGCGCCGACAAGGAGACAGGTTTTGATATTGAGCCGCTGGTATTCTCCGATGATGAGGAGATACCGCGCTTCTCGCAGGAAATGACACCAACCTTCGACTCCGATAGTGATACGGTAATTTGGTAGAGCTTGGATCATCAATTCTATTCTATTTTCGCCACACCTCGTTTTCTATGTCTATCTTTTCTTATCGATCAACGCAGAGTCGCATTGAGACGCCCTCCGCGAAGAAGCCGAACTCGTTCCTGAGCAAGGTTCTGCACTCGATGCCCTCGCCGCTGGATGACTCGAATGTAACCCTTAAGAGTCCGCCCAGCGAACAGCCCAGCACCAGCCCCGGCAACTTGGAGCAGCGCGTCCAGGACTTCAATAAGCTGGCCAAGCAGATGATATATCAGCTGGAGATGACCAAGACCAAAATCGAACAGAGCCACGAGAGCGAGGCGTAAGTGCCAAACAGTTCAAAGGCGTCTCAGACTAAGCTTACAAATATTTTGCAGCGACGATCTCAGAATGCTGATAGCTCCAGATGCGGCAACTCTGATCTCACAAGGCGATTCCTTGGTGCTCGAAACGCATGGCAAACATGGCAGCATCTCACGTCCTGTCATGCGCACACAGATCATACTCAGGGAAAAGTTCCGTGAGGTTCAGCAGGCCAAGTAAGTAGAACCGAGACGATCCTCAAGACTTGCTCACGGGCTGAGAGTTTTTCTTACCAATCATTTCAGGCCTAAGACAACGGGCACATCGGCAGCGCGGCCCGCGCCAGACAGCGTTAATATTGAGGAACTGATCACTAAAGGTCTGCGGCGCATCCATGTGCTCATTGAGAAGCCCGTTGATTCTAAGTCCAGTACTGAGCTAGAGAAACGCTTGGACGACATCGATGTAAGTGTGAACAAACTAATTATACCCTGCACTCACTGAAAATCTGAATTCGGGGCATAATGGCTTTTTCAAAATGTATGTAACAAGCTGAAGGAGGCGTGGCAGAGCCTATAAAGTATATATATTCTTGATCAGGATGACAAGCAGAGTTGATCTAGCCATGTCTGGGTGTCTGTCCGCCCGTCCGTGTGAAGGCAACGGTATTGTAAAGGCTGTTTATTCTAGAATACCAAACGTCGTACAAATTATCATTTTTTTCGATAACTCAATCGATTTTCTTGACATCGATAAATATCGATAGCTTGTCTTGGTCTTTTAAGCGTAGCTTGAGCACCGTAAAAACGGGAGTCTTCAGATTTATTGACAGGTTCTTGCGTAGATGCTTAGAATGATAGGCAAAGCAGCTCTTTGCAGGCTTCAGGGTATCTCGTAGTCGAGCAGTCTCGACTAGAACTCTCTTACTTGTTACATGCTGGCTTTGAGCCAATATTAGAAACATCTGGTCAAAGAATGAAAACTAATTGCCCATAGCTAAAATGAATTGAATAAATATACCCCGTGCCTTGTCTATCTTAAGAAGGGCCATATAATAACTGAGATTCCAGATTAAAAATACCATTATCATTTATCTCTTTATTTGGTAAATAAATTCTTGATGGGCATCAATATCTATATCCCTCTCTCTCTTCCATTAGCTCTGCCTTAGTTCATTAAAATTTTTTATCTATATTTCTCTAATATTTAGAAGAGAAAGGTTAAAATTTTTTTTAGAATTTTTGTTTTACAGGGTATTTTTCGGTACAAGCAAAATGAAGCAGTCTTAAATGCCTTTATTAAAATCGAGCGCAATATATGTGTTTCTATATTTCGTATTATTTGCGTACTAATTTAGACATCGCTGAAGGCGTCCGCGTTTATTTTTGCTCTTGCTCCAACCGCAAGTTAATTGGCCTCTTGAGAATTCAGAGCAGCAAACTAAATGCTGCCATTAGAAATACCCAAAATAAACCGAAAATTTTGACATAGTTACACGGGCCGCTCGAGACAACGCGTCGTACGCCAACATTAACAACATCAACAACAGCATCTGCAACATTTAGATACATTCATGTGGGGAATCGGAATCGGATCGCACTCGAAGAGAGAACTTAAGAGTGTTGGGCTTGCTGAATTTGTGTAGTGTCATGTTCAATACAATAAGGAAATTTGTCATGAAAATATATAAACATATTTAGGTCAATTTGAAAAACAATTCGTGAATCTATGCGAAAAGCTGTTTCCTTCTCTATAATTCGAAAGCAATAAAAACTATTTTTAGTTTTGTTTAGAGAGCAGTTTTTTTGATATTAGCTAATGATATAAATTAAGAAAGTTTTAATTATTTTTTTACATTTTTTTAAAGGAGTCAAAGTAGAGCTAGGAATATACTTAAATTCCTCATTGAGTTTCCATAATAAAAAATAAAGAAATAAATTCCAAAAATAAAGAAATATTTTTGGGTACTTAGTTTAATGCCTACTCGATGCTTAGATAGAATATTTGATCCATTACTGCTGTTTAAGTCTCAATTTTAATAGTTTTAAAGTTTCCTTTCTCTTAATTCGAAACGCTGTGTTTGACAAATGGTCTTATTTCCTGTCACGATGTGAAATAATAAATATAAAAAGTCTTCCCAATTCGACAATTTCGATCCCCAAACAATGACACGGTCCAAAATCCATCATTAATCAATTCGTCTTTGGTTTGTTTATTTTCGTTTTGTTTGCTGGCCCCAATGACAAAAAAGAGAGGGAAAATATGAAAAACAAAAACCAAAAATCAAAAGCTGAAAACAGAAAAGTGGGAAACCTATATTTAAAAATAGAATGTTGTGAAGAGCGTGTAGTGAAGAGAATTTTCTTGATTGAAACTAAATTTGCTCCCTTTGCTGGCGGCGTTGAGTTCCTTTTTTCGATCTTTTGTTTTCAGTCTGCGCGCGGTTAAAATACGCAACGGTCGCAACGCTAGAAATTAATTTCGTAATTAATTTGATTGAAGTGCATTGAGCAAGTTCGCTTGGCGCCAAAACTGTTTGCTCTGCGCGCTCAAATGCAATTTTGTTGGTTGACACAGTCTGCCAGTGCGGTATACGAAAAGTCCTCACACACACCCCCGCACACCCACACACCCGCACACATTGCATCGCGTTGCGCTCTTGGGTGCCCCTAGGAAACACTTGCATGGAATATTCGTGCTCGTTTACAACCGGAATTGAATTTCAATAACCATTTGGCCCTCCCAGGCCAGAAGTGTCCATTTTTCCGCTGTGCGTGCTGCCATTGCCACTCGAACATGTTCTTTGTTTTTTTGCTTTTTTTTTGTGTAATTTTTGATCTTAAACTGATAACTGAGTAAATTGAACGGATGCTTGAACTCGTTGCAGGAACGGAAAGACGATCTGCAGGTCATTGTTGGCGCCATTGGCAAGAATACCCAAGTGCCAAAGGTTCCGCCCGTCATGATAAACGAAATCGAAAAGGTTAAAAAAAAACACTTGTCGCACGACTAAATCATTTTCCGAACCGATTGCACTAGAGTTTGCTCTATTCATTTTAATTTTTTTCTCTTTTTGCCACAGACTAAAAACAATTTGACTGCTCATGGCGACAGCATAGAGCTCTCGCTGACGGAACTGAAAAATGTCACCCAAATTGGCAATGGGAACGGCGCCACCAACAGCCGACAGGGTAAGTGATTTTGATTGCTTTCAAACTAAAGCTTAAAAGGGTATATTAGCTTGCGGTGGATGTATGTGTAAGCAAAGGCAAATATTTGTGGTTTGTCAGTCTAAAGAGTTGAAGTTATGCCATTCACATGACATTGAAAACTAAATGGATTAAAGAGTTTAGTTAAGTTTATATATTGTTATAAAACGGAAACAAATGTATTTTATTTAGTTTGTTTTGCCGTTGAATACATTCCTTAGGCTGCTTCCAAATAGGTGTTGACATTTTATTTAATACACAAAATAAATCTACTCATATATTTAAATGAACAATATAGTATGTATATGTTTATTTATAGTCACAAATCAAAGTAATTAAATATTAAAAGTAGCTTTCTGCTTTGCCTTAAAACTTGTTGAATAAAATATGAAATATTCAAAGTAATTAAATATTAATAAAAGATTTCAGCTGTGGCTGAAGAATATGAAATATTCATATTCATATCAAATGAATCTCTTGTGCATAAGTCATATTCAACCAATTGCAGAGACTGAACTCAATCACTTCAATTGGCAAATGCGAGAAGGAGCGAATAAGCACGCACGCTTGCATCATTTGCTTCCTAATTGCTTTTACACATTTTCGCTTTTGAAGTTTACGATATCAAATTTTGCTGCAGTCGCCGATATTACGTTGTATGACATGGCATTTGTATGCTATTCTGCTCTACTCTGGTGCTCGCCCGGCCCACACAAAAGTCGAAGCAGCGTAGGGCGCGCATCCAAACAGAACTGCGAACATCTCGCCTAGATGTGTACAGCTGCGTGCATACGGATGGACCAATGTTGACTCACTTGTGCAGGGTGTCTTTCATGCTGATTGTCGATCAGCGCCTTTTGGAGTACTAAGAGTTACCCGAGATTAAGAAGTCACATGCAAAAGTTACAGGAAACTGTCGCCCAGCCACATTTATTGAGCGCTTACATGGAAAAGATGCATTACAGTCGCTACACAGCGGAGGCGCCTGCTGTGAATCTGAAGGCGCCTTCACTATGAAACGAATGAAATATTTCTCTGACTGACCGACCTTAGCTCTTGTGGCGTTCCCTCTTCAATTAATATAGATTTTAGTTTTGTGCTGGACGACAGGGAAGTTGCTTGTGATGGATATGCTATGTCTGGCTGGAACCTGTCAATCGCACTCCTATAGAAAGCTTTCTTGAATCCTGAAGATTTAATTAATTTCTCAACTTCTTCATTGTACATTGTAGTGATATGATAATCGGAATTGTTAATATGCAACGGATTTGTGTTGGTCATCAAAATATCGCACATTTTCTTGCCATTCTTGGCTATTGTGAATTCGGCCATGTTAAATGACCGCCTGCGTTCCGCGAAGCTTTCTTTATGACTGCCAATGCTATGTTGTGAGCTGGCAGATCTAAGGATGCCTGCCCAGGGACAGATGATGACAACCTTTTTGCCAATTTTTATGTGTTGCCTGTCGCATGGTGTAGGTGGAACTCCAGGAGTATTAGATACCACAGATCCAAAAATTATGGTGCGTTCATTCAGGCTTTTCATAGACGATGTGGGGCTTGCGTCTGGACTCTTAGTGGCATACAATGGTGGCTCCTCCGGCTCAACGTAATGTTTCAAAATCGATATGCTACTTCGCTCATGAACTAAGTGCTGTCGCACTATATTTGGGCTTACGGTTAAGTGCTCCCATGGATATGGTGTCATTGACCTCACTGTACGCATTAGGCCGTAATCACGATGGTCCGAAAGAGGAGTATCTGTGCTAATTGTTGGACTCCTTTTAAACGATAGGCATTGGGAATTGGCAGCGGAATCTGTTGAGGCGTTGGAACTCATCGTTAAGGTTCTAGATAATACAGCAAAGTTATTTTTTTTTTTATTTTGATATTTTTGAGTTTTTTTGTTTTAGTTTCAAGTTTGTGTGTATTAGAAGTGTGTAAAGCTCTGAATTGCTTGCCTGGCATACTTAAAGTAACGGATCCGAGTGCTACGATATCCGCTGGAACGCATAGCACTATATGAAATGTTGAGAGAGTTTGGAAACGCCTAGAAACGTTGACACTTATTTGGAGCATATCTCGCTCTCGTGTAATACAAATTGAATATATTTCTTGGTTAATACCTTAGCAGCCTAAGCATAGATATAATTCTTATATTTATAAATGCTAAAGGAGTGAGCAACACAGCGCCATAGTTAATCAAGAAATCAAACGTTTCATCTGAGCCACATTTATTGATCGCCCACACTAAACGCTATTGCATTCGTTGAGTAATGGAAGCGCCCGCAGCTTCAATCGATTCTGAATTTGAAGGCGCTTTCACTAACCATCGAATGAAATCGATCGATTTTGTGAATAGTTGACTGCTGAGTCTTTTAATATTGACGGATGCTTTATGGGCTTAATAACATTATAGTCTAGCACAGTCGTCGTCTCTTCATTTGATAACTGACTCGTCTCTGTAGAGTATTCCGAGTCGGCATCTCTTGGAAACGCCTTCATGCTAATCAACTCATTTTCATTGCTTTTAATTAAACCTTGAATTTTAATATACTCCTCAATTTCGTTTATGTACGATTCGTCCACTTGGTACTTGGGCATCCGCCGAAGATCTGGTTGTTGTGCTTGGAAGTCGGACATTTTCTTGCCATTCTTGGCTATTGTGAATTCGGCCATATGAAATTGGCGCCTTCGGTTCTCAAAGCTGTCCGTTGAGCTATCCGTGCTTCTCAACCTAAGCGTGCTTTCTCGGGGACTGATTAAGATCACTTTTTTGGCATTCTTCAAGCGATATACACTTTCAGCTTTGACTAAACGCTTTACCAAAGTTTGGGCATTCAGGACTACTCTCTTTTTTGGGTGTGGCGTGCCGAACGACAAATCAGTAGCCGAGCTCGTGCTGGAATAAGATCTCTTCTTGCTCGAAATGCTAACTTGCTTTTCTTGCAGGCCATCACTGCCAAATGTGCTATCCTTCAATCGTTCCCGAAGTACTCGGGGGTTCACGGCCGTACCTTTTGTGGGATGCGGTGTGCTATGTAAGCTGTGATGCATACGTATATTTTTCAACTCATCCTCGGAAGGTGATTGAATCTTAACCACACTTCTGCGTTGGTCTCGACTGTTAAGGCGTTCTTCCACTGCGTTTGGATCTATGGCAACATGTGCTTGCGGATATGGAGTCGATGCCCGCTCGCTATCCACAGGCAGTAGGCCATTATCACGATCAGTCGCTTTTAAAAATGGTTTTTTTCTGAATAACAGCGCTCTATTCAATTTGTTTGGCAATGTAAGGCGAACTTTATTCGAATCCATCGTTAACGACAACTCAACTATGGACTGTAAAGAAGCAACAAGCAAACAATGAACAAATATTTTTGTGCTTTCTGTTTTTGTTTTGTGTTAGAACTGTTCAAAAAATTAACCAATTTGTGGCGCCTACTTTATTCCCCCCTATTTATATTGAGCTTGCAAAAGCTGATTGCTACGCTATACATTGATCAGTCTCGGTTTTTGTAAGCTTGTTGCAAATCGCAAAAGCTGATTGCTACGCTACACATTGATCATTCTCGGTTTTTGTAAACTTGTTGCGAATTATAATAGAATAAAAACGGCCTATAAACAGTCGACGATTGACATATGTATTTATTGAAGGCGCTTGCTTAAAATAACAATCCCATATAAGCTTATATTTCTTGATATTAGTGTATACACATATCGGTGATTAATATAAGTCAATATTTAGGTAGAACACATGTTTTTCTTTTCGCGTACGTGCGCTTTTACATACTTTAACTATTCCATTAGAATATTGAAAATTGACACCTCCACCTTATTATGCCGGTTTTCGTGAATCTATAATTTCTCTTGCGATTCGATCGGGCACCGTTGTCACTAGGACTTATTGAATATATTGGCTTTCCCAAAACGTCGCTCATCATTCTGCCATGCTTGGCTGTGGAGAATTCAGCTTTCTGAAATACACGACGTTGATCCTCAAAGCTAATACAGTGTCTGACAACGTTTACCGTGTTCGTTTTCGACAAGAGTGATTTATTCGATGACCATTTTTCTAAATATATATATTATATTTCTCTATTTATTTCAATGTCTGTGAATATTTTGTATTTTTTTCGGGCGCTCGATACGCGACACTGCTTTCTGAGCACTGCTTGAATTGCTATCGGCGGCAGCTCTGCTAGCTGTTTGCTACATAACTCACGTTGCGCTGTAGCAGCGAACTAGCCAAGCAGTGCAATTTTAAATATCTAAACTTAAAGCGAAAATTGCTGAAGTATAATAAAATTTGAATAACTATAATGAAAAAGTTCCATTTCGAAATTATATATATATATATATTTTTTTTTGTAATAAAACTATGTTATGCATTTGAATGATTGATATTAAGTTCTTTAGTGTGTACAAATGGGTTAAAGTAAATTTTGTTAATTCATATTCGTTGTTCAATTGCGATTTATTACTTGTATTAGGAAGAGTATTACTAAATACATCAACTTAAGCGTGCACAAAACGCAACTGATCATGATATATTTTTTGTGCTTGCAGTAAAATTCCATTGGAAAAATATCGAGTATGCCTTCTAACTGGAGAGTCGGCCCACAAATTGAAAATATGCTCGATATTTTTAAAATGAAAATTTCTTTTCACCATTTTCACGGAATTGAATTGCCTTCTATCTGTTCTCTTAGTATATCTTTGACGTTTTCCTAGATGTATTCGTAGATCTGATATCTTTACCCACGGACTGGTCCGGAGCTCCACTTACTAAACCTAGCCGCCGAATAAGCATTTCAATTTCCTGCGTCGCCGCCAAGTCCCTCATTACTAATTCATTATCAATATATGTGCTATCCGATTTCGTGCCCATTAATTGGTCGCTCATCTTCTTGCCATATTTGGCAATTGTGAATTCGCCCTCATTGAATGTTTGTCGACGCACGTTAAACTCCGATCTCGAATCGAGATCTTTCTTTTTAATATTTAGACAAGTGTTTCTTGGACTCACTACGGTGACCTTCTTTTTCGTTGTATCTAGTGAATTTTTTCGCGCGATTTTATCTGATTTTACAGAAGTAAGACCTAGTAATTTTTGAAATGATCGGCCAAACGAGGTGTCAGTGCTTATCCTGCTAATTTCATCGATTCGTGTTTTGAGCACTTTGGGATTTATGACTACGGCCTTATTGGGATGCGGAGTACCAAGCGATATATTTTCAGAGGACTCTGGTTTATTTTTATCTTGTCCGAAATTAATTCTGGAATTGTCTAAATACTTCTGCCCTTGACGCCGTACATTAGCTCGTTGGCCCTCAAGACGAGACGTCAGTACTTTTATATCAACACCATCAAATTTTTTTGGATGTGGCGTTGAAGAAATGGAATTAACACGAACTAGGCCATAGTCACGGCTTGCCAACTTCACAGGTTGAACTGGCTGGAAGTCAATTTTCTTTTTTGTATGATTGTCTGCGAGTTGGCTTCTAACTGTTGGTGATGTGACTGGACGTTTCATTATGCAGGCTGTGCAGGAAAACTGATTCTTCCGTGTGTTATTTTTTTTTTATTTTTTTTTTTTAATAAATGTTATCTGTATTGTAAGTGTTATCTGTTGTATTCTGGCTGTGAACAATAATATTCAACGAGTATTTGATGGTGATGTCGACACTGCTTCCCATGCCTACGCAGCTCAGCTTTAGTATTAATTTGAATGCTGGTTGCTACGTAACAAATATACAATAGCAGCTGCCCGAAAATAAAGCCACTTTACCGTTAGCACCGACTAAACGCAACTTTAAAGCTTTTCGCGCGATTCCAAGCTTTTAGCGTTGATTGGCTGCCAAACAGCTGTTAAGCATTTGTGTAAAACATTTCAAAACAAACCGTTCGGCGGTAAGGAACTAAGCCGCTTTCAAAGTATTTCTGTGTGAAAATCAAAAATAATTTATAAATGAAATATATTGTAGTTCGAAAAATAATTTATTTAACTTATTCATCAATTTTTGAATTTTATAAAATATATTTCCAGACAAAAACCTTCCCAGTTATATTAAACATGAGAAACTTTATCATAAAAAAAATTGTTTATAAAATACATATCAAGTGATTATTTGAGAAATTAATAAAAAAGGTGGAGCTAATTTTTAATATTGTTTATCAAAATTTTAAAATAAATTATTAAAAATAATCAAATTACTGATTTCAACTAAATATTGATTTCAACTATAATAATTAAAATTTATAATGACGTTTGAATTATTTATAAATTAAAACCCTTATAAATTCACTTCATAATGATGTTATTCTATTTGTTTTATTTATTTTTACATAAATCAGAAATCAATCTGTTGAGTACTTAAATATTTTTTAAGTTATAAAAACGTATATTTAAACAGAGTTTAAATTGAAAGTAAATGTTATTATATTTAAATTGTAAAAATAATAAGTGTGCCCCCATTAAAACTTATGTGCTCACCCACTCAGAGTATTTGAAAAAGTGCTGAGTGACGTTGAGCAGCAGCAGCGCGACAAGTGGAAATATAAAATTGCTCCGGTTTTTAATGAATTATGACATTTTGCAGGTGGGAACGTTGACGTTTGCTTTATCAGGTAGCTGCCTCCTTTGCCAATTACAACGTATTTCACATACAGAGGATATACACAGGCGTATATATGTATATACATATATATTATTTTTCAAAGATTCACTCACCGTTTTACACCTGCCAGGGGCTGATTGTCCTCGCAAGAAAGACAACAAACGGGCAGCCACAATACGAGCGTCAAAATGGGTGAAAAGAAATTTTGCACTTAACGCGTTTTTCCTGCCTCTTCGGCTGCAAGAACTGAAGTGTCTAAGGCTTGTCATATGTTATTTTTTTGTTCTGTTTCTGTTTTTCCATATATTTGTTTAACAGGCTGGCTGGCTGCTTGTGTGTGCTGTGACTCTCATGAATTTCATTTTAAATGCTTTCACACACTTGGCATTCATTCATTCATTCGGTCAGGCATTCAACATAGACTTGGCTAGTAAAGTCCTGGCTCAATGCCTGTTCTTGTCTCCTCGGTTGAGCTGTTCGCACCCAAATCCCTTGTTGCAAATAGCAGCTCTAATCCTGCGTGCTTTCTGGACATAAGCACAGACACACACATACACACTTACATAGCTAGATAAGCACACTCTTACACATTTACTTGCACAAGTATTGAGTTTGCTTTCACGGCTTATGTGCAACTCAAGCCTCGAAAACTTTCATAAATATCTCAGCTACTCCTTAGGCTTACAAAACTTGCCCGAGGCGTCTCTTTCAGTTCCTCGCGTTAAGTATTTCAAGCGTTTCCTTTGCCTTTAAATATCTACGACGACCACTCCTTGTAGCAAATTCAATTTTACCATTTCGGGCGTGCAGAATGATAAGAAATGCTTCAAACAATATTTTTCCATGCATTCTTTAACGGCGACCACGACGCTTGCACATGGTATTTGCTCCATAATTCGCGGCTGCATAGATGAAATTGTTTGCTTACTGCAGCTCTGGCTTTAAGATATTTAAATACTCTTTCAGCTGAGTCTATTTGTCAGTTTGCGCAGTTTACTGAGCTTACAGAGGCATTGCGAATGGCATTTTGAGGACTTGTCACAGGCCAAGCAAACGGTCGAGCAGCTTCCTGAAAGATACCTCAGTTGGCAGCTGCTTAAGCAGTCTTTGTGGACTTCATGGAAAAATTTGTGTTTAATGAGCCTTAGTAAATAGCAAAATTTCACTCCTTAAAGGCCATTTGACAGCTGCCCTCAAACTGTGCGAGTTTTTGGGGAATATTTGCTCAAAATGGACCACTGTGCGAGGAAGCTACTTGAAAGTTAGCTGCGTTGAAATAGTTTTTCATTCACTGGGCGTTTTTTATGTGCCTATGGACAGGCGCGCTAAAAAGAGCAACCAAGTGGGCGGGGAGGCGTGGAGCAGTGTCGGCAAATATGGTCCAGTGGAGCAGGCCGAGGCAGCTATGTTGGCCACGTTGACCGCAATTGGCCGGGTGAAAGCCGCAGCTGCTGCTAATGAGGAAAGCGGCATTTGTGACCGTGCAGAAAACATCTAATTATCGTCTAGTCTTTAATGAAAATTTGGTTTCTCGTTTTCAATTGCAGATTACAACAAGGAGCCCAGCGGCAGTGGCGCTCTGGCCAGCAGCTTCGACAAGTCCGTTTTGCACATTTCCGACTGGCTGACGTGGGAACAAAACATGATCAAGATACAGAGCGTGCTGGTGAACGATGGCGACGCCGTGCGTTTGGCCATCGAAAAGCAGGAGGTAAGTGGCTTTAGTAGTAGTGGGTGGCGGACTGTTCAAAGCATTCACTCGGCCATCGTTTCGCCCTGCAGAAAGTTTTGCGTGAATTGAAAATGAAAAAGCCGCAACTCAACGAACTGGTCCATACAGCGGAAGTGCTGAAAGGCGACATCAAACGTCAGCAGCTGCAGGAGAAAGGTAAGCATTAGAAATTTGCAACTTAAATACATATATTTATGGGTATTTAGAATGAATTTAAGTTGAAGGCAGCACAGCTTGAGCTCTGCAAATATAAAATTATATTTTTTATTTATATAAATATATATATATATATAATATATAAAGATAAAAGTTCAATTAAAAAACGTTGAATGGAATCGAGGATAACTCCTTCTGGGCACACAAACAGGCAAACATTTCCTAATTCATCGAGCCCGTTTTATGCTACACGGAAATTTCATTAGGCCTCTTAGCTGCTGTCAGCTAAATGCCATTATGAATTGCATGCAAACTGTGCTTCACCTAGGGGTCTAACGAGATATGCACATTTTCCATTTCCCATAACGACTTTCGTGCAAGCAAATTTCCGTTTTGTCAGACCGACACACACACACACACGCACACAGACTGGGCCAGTGGAACCAGCAGAGGAGTTCACTGAAAGCAGAAATGCGAACGAAATCCACTTTAAATTCCAACCAACTCAAGCTGACCCAGGCGTTTGGTGCGCTCAATTGCAAAAATGTAGCTCCTGACGCTAGGCCTCTTTGCATATTGTCCTTTAGTTACTGCTGTTGCTGCTGCTGCTGCTGCTGAAAGAGACAAACATTAACCATTTTTAACTATATTAAACCGAGAGATACCTCGCAGTAGCGCAGGTGCGTGCTTCAAAGCAATTTAAGCCTTTTGACTTGTAATGCTATGGAAAATATGCAGATATTCTGTATTAGACTTGGCTATGCATATATAATTGTAAACTTGAGAGATCAAGATTGATAGATACAGTTTTCGGAAACTGCAAAATAATCTCTGAAAGACTATTTCTATAAGAGTTCAATGGAGTCATGCATCAATTGCTTGAGTGCTCAACTGAGCACTTTTCAGTCTAGTCGATAAGAATATAAATTATCTGGAAAGCAGCAGGAAAGCTGTAGTATAAATATGAAAATGCTCAGGTCAAATAGCTCTCTATTGATCACTCTTTGATGACTCTGACTTACGGTTTCTGCGGATTTATCAAAATTTTAGAAAACAAACATTTAAAATGTATTTATGCTCGCAGATTTAATCAAAAATTTATTGTTATTGATGAACAACTGAATTGAAATATTTAAAATTTAATACATACTAAAATTATATAGTTATTAAGCATCCTTAAAGTAAGTACCCGCTTTGCTTTAAACAGTTTACAGGGACTGCTCGGCTTCTCTTTAATAAGCTCCCTCTTCGGTTTTTAAGGGGTATTGAAAGGCGACAAAGTCAGCGCTGTCAAATGGCATTGAAAGACAATGGCAAAGTTCACAGCAAACACAAATACAAATACAAATATGTAAACACACACACACACACACACACATACAGTGCATAAAATGGCTTGCACCATAAATCGAAATTGGTAAGTCATTTAAGCCGGCATAGCCGGCTGAGGTGAATATGTAGCACAGTTGAACAGGCACTGTTAAAGAGCAAAGCGTTGCCTCAAGAGAGTTTAGAATTCGCTGCATGCCACGCGGCGCATGCTCCAGTTGATATGTGTGTGTGTGTGTTCTCAGTGTCATTTTTTTCGTGATTCGTTCATTTGACTCTCTGTGGAATTTTAATGTGGCAGCAGGCAGCCAACGTTTCTGCCAGTTGACATTTAATTGACAAGCTGTGCGGCAGCGGGGCGGATGGTTAACATTTTTATGTCCCTGTTTGTTGTTGCTGCTGCTGCTGCTCTTACACAGTTTTGTATTTTATGTCATTGTTTGCTGGCTCTGGGGGGATTGGCCTGCAGTTGGCTGCATTGCTTGTGTGTTCTTACATATTATTATGATGTTTGGTTTGTCATAAACATTTGTAACTTGTCCTGCGCCGCTGCCTCTGCCACTGCTGCCACTGCTGCCACTGCTGCTGCTGCTGCTGCTACTGCCGTCGACCACGTACATAAGTGGAATCCCTGTTGCTGTTGCCCCTGTCAGTTGGGTCGAAACCTGGCCACATGCTACTGATACTGCTAGCTGACTTTGCTGTGGCTTCTCGGCCTTACTACTTAACCAATAGAGGGGGACAGATTCATTATTCTTGTTTCCTTTATTTTACTTCCAAGAAATGAGCTTACCGTTGGTTATTATGTAACCGTGGCACTTTAATAGTTGTGTTATTTATATTCCGTCATTTATATTAAAGTCCGTCAGACAATCAATCAAGAGCTCAGTAGGCACAAGGTATAAATGTGTTTTGTATTTCTTCAAAAAGTCTTTGAAAGGAAATAAATTTATTGATTTTTAAATTCAAGTTACATTAAAGTAAATCTTATCTAAATTAGTTTTTACTCTACCTTAATCAACTTGAAATTCTAATTCCTACTTAAACAGTTAATTATTCCACATTTATCAAATCTTAAACTTTCATTATAAATTAATATTTCAATTGCCATGGCGACCTTTAAACTAATTGCTAAATTTCATCCGCAATTGGACAAGTAATGAGTGCGGTTTAGTCTGGCTTTGGGCTCAGTGGATATAGGCACGGTGTGGGCAACCAGTTGGGTCAGGTCAATTGGTTGGCGTCGGCCGGGCCTGCCGCTTATCTCGGGCCAAACGAGCTGCACACAAAATCAATTAATTACGCATTTTGTAAGCTGACGCTTAATTAAACCATTATTTATTATCTCATATGGCTGGATGGCGTGCCAAGGGGTGCGGCCAGGCAAAAAGTTGTGCCAACTCGCTCGACCCAAGCCCCTTTGCCGTGCTCTGTTATCATTTATAGAATGCCTGCAGCGAGCGCAGGGCACAGTCGTAGCCCGAACCACTAACTGGGCAATGTGTGTGGGCCGCTCGTAAATCTGTCTTTGACATGCAATTTTAGTGCAGCGGCTGTTGCTGCAACGGCTGCTCCTTCGGCCAGCAACAGCAAGTATATATCAGCAATAACAATGCACAATGCACAATTCAGCCAAAGGACAACGCACTCGCCCGCTCCTGAGTGTGTGCTCCCCGGACCGGGGATGAAGCCAGCAACCAAATTGCCTCTAATTGTCGTCTTTCTCTCAGCAGCGATGCCCACAACCTGCAATCTGCAACCTGCACCCATTCCTGCCCAGTAGCACGCCCACTTCACGCCATTACATGCTTTAATAGGCCTACTCCGACCCTGCGTGCCCCCCTCTCCAGACTCTAGAGACTCTTCGCCTGGCAGGCGCTTCCTGCCTGCTGTCTGCGCTTTCAAGAAGTTGTTGGCGCTTGATGCCCCTGCCAGGCGGCCCTGTGACTATCTGATGAGCCTTAAATAATTTAGTCATTATATTATCATATTGGGCAACAAAGAGCAAAGCTTTATGATTCTATAAAAATTCTATAAAAATTAAAAAAATGACGAAAATTTTAAATTAAATTAATTAATTTATAATGAAATCTCATCAGCCCGACTGATGCCTAAAGTCTGTTTACTGTGAAGTTTAGTGAACTTTAAAGTGTATTGCAGCTTCGTTGTGAGTGCTTAAAAGTTTTTCCTGTTTTTAATTACTTAAAAGCGACGTCTTCATGACTGCTTAACCTCAGACCTTTGACCAGGGGCAATTGGGCCTTGGCTTGGGCTCCGTCTTTGGCTCTTGTGCTGGCTTTATGTAACTTGAGCACTTAACGCTTCTGCCGCAAATTTGAAAGCAACATTAAATTAAATAATTGTCCTAACAGCGCGCCAGGCAGCCAGGCAGTCAGGCTTTCAGCTATGCGCCAGATAGTTTTTGCGCACATTTTTGTGCTCGAAAGTTATGTGAAAAATGTTTGTGAATATTACAGGTCGCAGGCAGCGCTGTCTATAGGAGCTTGGCCAACGTGGCCAACATAAAGTTGTTGGCTCCCTTCGAGTGCAGCATTTTTAATCCGCTGGGTTTTTGTCTGATTACGCAAATTGTCCTGGGTTAGCGTGGTACGTGACTGCCATGTGTGTAAGTGGATTTCCTGCTGCGCTCTAGCACAAGCTTAGCAATGTGAAAATGAATTTTAATTAAATTCATTAGAAATTATTCACATATTTTACTATCTGTTGTCGCTGCTGGCGTCAATAGCTTTGTTTGCTTGCCACGCTCTCTGCTCAGTCAATTGTCAATGTTTACGTTTTCTGATTGAAAAACTTTTCGACAAAAGAAAACTGCGTCACACTTGGGCTAAACTACTCAAAGCTTTTGATTTGGAGAGAAAATGTGTTCATATTCAATCGAGCTGAAACCAGTTTGAAGGTACATAAATTAACCAGAATATTCTAGATTGTATAGCGTTGAAATTTGTCCTTAGAGCATAATTTATCCGCACAGATTTGCGTTGCCTTAAAGCTACGCAATTTTAGTGGAATAAATCTGCTCGTTTATTTACATTTCATGCAATGGCAGCTTTCCCATTGAGGTGTATTTTAATTTATATTTTCCTATGCACTGAGCCAGAGTGAGAGGGAAGACGGCAGAGAATGCTTGGAAAGGCGAGGTATTTCTTTTGCAGTCATTAAGACCGCTGCACACGACTCAACTTTCAGCAATTCTGACGTTATTACCACCCTCGCAACTGGGTGAAAGGGGCAGCGTGTGGGGGCTGAAAGCAAATATCTACAATGCCACGAAAAACAAGAACCATACACACACACACACGCACACACACACACACACACACACACACAAACACACACACACACATTTAGAAACAGAATTCCGTCAATGGCCTCGGCACGCTTGCTGTGTGTGCAACCCTGTGCAAAGCCGATGCTAAAGTTTCTTATCAGTTATCAAGGTTCGCGGCAGACACGCACAACATGTGGCAGGAAGGTTGGCGGCCCCAGCATGCTCCCGGCTATGGAGCACCCAATGCGCATGACATTCACAAGCAAAACAAACTGCCGGAATGCCGGTCGCAAGAGAGCCGAACAACAGAGAAACAGAGAGACGCAGAGAAAGAGAGACACAGAGAGTGAGCGAGAGCGAGAAAGAGAGAGAAAGCGGCCAG